TCTGTCTGCGTGTGTTCTGTTGTGCATAGGGTTTTCAGAGGCCTGCTATTTCAGAAGTGGGTGGCCAATCCTTCTTCCTAATCTGTCTTAATGTGAATGTTCAGATTTAGAGAAGTATCAGACAAACCAGCATTTTACAGAAAAGTGAACGATATATCCCTTATTATGGAGTTAAGCATTCGTACCAGTGTTGTCCCTGCCCTTGGCACACGTGTCTTTACCCACTTATTTCCCTGCTCCACCATCACTGTGGGAAGAGAGAATGGTAATAGCAATACTCAGATTCTGTTATATATTTATTAAACATTCATGTTTAAATACTCCTATTCATATGGTCTTTGTGAATCATACTTGACTCAGTAGAACTTAACAGCTGCAAACATTGTCTTCCTCAAAATTAGAGTCTTGTAGTCTAAGATTCGGTTTTTAATTTTTATAGTGACATGACAATTTAAAATGTGAAGGAAAGAGAAAAAAATAGAAAAAAAATAGAATTTCAAGCTAAATTTTAGTATATTTGATATTATTAATAGAGTTCACTGAAACTGAGTTTTTTATAATGCCAGAATTACAGAATTTTTTATTCACTTGAACATACTGTGTTTTGTGCCCAGGATATGAGGATATTCCTATGCTAATGAAATCTCTCACTTGATGATGTTAAGACAGTTGCAAACACTTCAAATACAATTTATTCACTCCTTGTTAGAAGTCTCTATAAATTGTTGGGCTTGATGGTAAGCTCCTTGAAGGATTCTCAGGCTTACACACCACAGTAGTGCTGGATTTAAGGTTTATAAGCCTCCTATGAGTTTTCCTAAATTACTCAAATTTAGGAACTGACAGGAATATAGGCATTAAATATTACAAAATATGGTTTGTTCTTGAAAATAAAAATAATCTTTTTGGAACTTTTTGGAATAACCAGTGCAAGAGTGGAAAGAGAGAATAAGACAAGGATATAGGGCTTAGATCATAAAAGGATTTTTAGTATTATACAATCCCATGTAGACTTTGTCTTGCAAAATAAAAGAATTTTGAGCAAGAGATTAAAAGGCTTTCATTTTTACTCACAAAAGATCAATCTGACAACAGTATAACAGAACATGAGGGTGAAGATTAACTAGGGCAGAGACTTTACAGAGCTTATCTCAAGAGTTCAGACTGTAAGTCTGGCAGACAATTGACTATATAAATGTGAAGTTTGCATAAAACAGATTTGGATTAATGCCATGTGGGGAGTGAATATAAAATATAAGATTATGAGATTAAAAGAAAACCCCACACCCAACAGCCTCAAATGTTTTTTATGGTTAGTTGTGTGAAAGTTCATAGAGCAAGTTAGTTGTCTTAGCTTTTGAGATTTTAAAAGCTAAAATCAATGTTTAGTTTTTGTAATCTTTGTTTCTCAAAGACATTGAAGAATTTAGCCACAATGTCCACAACCTACTCTTTCATTTCATTTGTGTTTATGTGTTCCATCCATACATTTATAAAAACTTTTATCTTAAATTTTATGTTTTATCATTCTTCCACGTCTGGTATTTTGGTAGCATATGGGAATTAGAGTGAAGTTGTATATTATTAAAATAGGTCATAATTATTAAAAAGGAGAGTATACATTGGATCTTTTAAATCCAATTTTTGTATAGTTTTACTTGGAAATTACTTTCTAGATTAAAGTTGACAGTTCTTTATAACCAGTATTTGTAAAGTAATGTTTGTATTGTAATAACACTTTAAAATAAGATAAAATTCACTGTATAAAATTTGCTGCCAGGAAGAATTCTGTTTTCTTCTCTGTCCTCTAGTCTGCTAACTTGAATTTTATCCTTTTCTCACTGAAATGCTTCCACTGAGAAGGACGTAAACGTAAAAAGCACAAAAAACATTTTAAGAAACCTTTTAAAGGTCTTGATCGCTCAAAAGGTAGGTAAAAGTAGCTTTTTATGCCATGTGTTGTTCATAGACATTGCCAGTTGCTTTCTGTCTTGGAAGGTAAAATAATTGTTAGTTCCATTATACTTCAAAGCAAATTTTAAGTTCGAAATGTTTGGTAAATTTAAATCTAAAATTAAACAAAGACACAAGAATAGGCCATATTTTCCATACAGTTACTTATTCTTTAGTCATGGATTGTGAGTTAAGTGAGTATTTTAATTACTTAGCTTGTATTTTTTTTTTGTTTCTTTATAGATAAGCCAAAAGAAGCCAAAAAGGATACATTTTTTGAAAAATTGGCCACCCAAGTAATAAAAAATGTACAAGTGAAAATCACAGATATTCATATTAAATATGAAGATGATGTAAGTAATTTTAGTGTAATGTCTAATTTAGTAATTAAATGTATTTTATGACATTAATTTGTAATTTCTTATTGTATGGATTATCTGTAGCCAATTTTGAGTAATTAATTTTTTTGTTGATGAGTATACCACGGTATCTCCTTTGTAGTGTTAGACTAGTTTTATTATAGAAATAGAGAATATTTATATATAAATTAATATGTAAATAGATTAAATTTTAATCATTTATTAAGAATTAATTTATTAAATATTATATTAATCTATGAATTTATTAAAAAGTAACTAAAATATAAAGCTATCATATGTTCTTTTTTAAAATGAATATAATTAATTTTGGGGTTGTCCTTTATGAATTATTATGTATAAGGCCTTAAGATTCATAATGTTTTTATTTTAGGGAAGCAGTTTTCTCTTTTTCTTGAAGAAATAATTAGTTGTGAGAAGTGATAAAATGGTAATGATAGTTGAAAGGCCTTTTAACTCTCATTCTGTTTCCTATACATAACCACCAACTAAATGGTTTATCTACAATAACTCTCACATTTGTGCAACAATAATTTGTTTAGATACCATATGTCATTTATAACCAAAAGTTTAGTATTAGTTGATGAGGAAGTACCTTACTGATTAGTTAAAATTTAACAACTATTTTTAATTTAATAAATGTTGCTTTCTTATACAATTAGAAACATATATAAGAAATCTTAATTTTTAAATTTATCTAAGAAATTGGAAATGTTTTTCCATCTCTGCAAAATTTAAGTTTGTATATTTTTTCTTGAAAATATCTTGCTCTGTAAAACAAGGAACTCACGAATTGTTATACAAAATGGGTGACCCTGGAGGACATTATGCTGAGTGAAATATTTCAGTCACAAAAAGACAAACACGGCATAATGCAACTGTTATAAAAACAGGACTGACATGGAGGCTGGGGGTAAACTGAGAAAAGAGGACATAAATAATCATTGAAACAGACAAGGGAGAGAACTTTATAAAAGGAATATATAATTGGTATTATTGGCATGACAAGAGTCCAGAATGAGAGCTGCATAGTAAAGTGGTTGGCAGCTTTGTTCACAATAGCAAGGAGTTGGAAACAACCTAAGTGCCCATCAACAAACGAATGGCTAGAGAAGCTGTGGTATATTCGCACAATGGAATACTATGCTGCATTGAAAAACAAGGAACTCATGCAATATTATTCAAAATGGTTGACTCTGGAGAACATTATGCTGAGTGAAATATCCCAGTCACAAAAGGACAAATATTACATGATGCCACTGTTGTAGAATGGGACTGTCCTTGGGGTTAGGGAGACACTGAGTAAGATGGGTTCAATAATGTATACTGCACTGAAGCAGAGGAGGGAGAGAACCGTCTAAAAGAGAGATGTAACTGGGTATTTCTGTCATCACAGGAGACTAGAGCGAGGGCTGCATGGTGGAGGGGACCTGGGGGAGGGTTTGTAAAACAATGAAAGAATCTTTTCTTTTACTTTTCCATAATTTTTGGACTCATGTACTTATAACTTGTTAGTCAAATTTGTGTCTTCTAGGTTGCAACACCCCCATTATACATCTTGAAGGATATGTACATGTACAGCCAAGCACAATCAATAAGAGTGCATCTGAATTCCAAAATCAATCTCCATAATAGTCTATGTGTTTCCTACTGCCAAAGGGGCCCTTTAGAGTAGTGAGAGAAGATCTTCACCCTGAAACCCACAGCGTCCCTTTTCAGCAGGAAGTAGCTAAGAGACTACGCCGTCCCCTTTTCCTTATGACTCAGGGTGAAGTCTCTCTCAGGGAGGAGTGATAGGGAATGGCAAAGGATACACTGACAAAGAAGATTAATCAGAACTGGCTTTGACAAGCACTGTGGCATTTGGACAAGAACAAACTGGGAGGAGGGTAGAGAGAATAGTGCAACAATGAATGAGTGGAAGCCCAAAATCTCTGTAAATGTTTATGAAAATTAATAAAATATAATTATAGAAAAAAAAAATAAAGTGGTTGGGGTGAGACTGTATAATAATGAAAGAACTTTTTTCTCCAAAACAAAAAAGTGACCTAGGGGAGAGGGAGGCAGGGAGGAAAATGTGCAATAATGAACGATTGGAAACCCAAGTTCTTTATAAACAGTAATTAAAATCTCAGTAAAAAAAATCCTGGAAAAAAAATAATTTTGCTCCAAGTCAAGACTGAATTAGAAAAACATTGATGTTTAGTTTATTTTCTTTCCTGCTAAGTTCTTTGTGAAGCTTATTATTTAGTAAGGGTATTTCTGCTTTTTGAAAGTATGCATCATTTCCATCTTTCATTCTTTTCTATCTAGAATTGATCTTACTTCTTAGCTCTATGGAGTCATTGAACAGAATTTAGTATATATAAATATTTTAAATTTTAAATTTTAATTTTAAAAGTATAACTTTTTTATAATAAACTTGGGAAAATAGAATGTACTTAACACATGGAAGTAAAAGAAATACTGTTTCTATAATGTTACATAATGTCACATTGATGAATGAAAACCTCAGTTTAAATTAAGCAGGTATAATTGAAAAGATATATATTCATATCTCTTTAATAAAAAATATAGAGAGCTAAATAGAAGTGGGATAAGTAATATCCCATTATTTATTTATTTATTTAATTTATTTATTTTATTATTTTGTGTGTGTGTGTGTACCGTCAAATGGGATCTGACTGGTACAGGAGGAGATTGTCCCTCGTTACCCGGCAGAGCATCTGGTGGATTCGAACCGTGTGCCTCTGGGATTGCAGTGCAGCTTCTTGCCACTAGGCCACCAGAGCTTTCCTAAGTAATATCCCACTTTTATAATAATATTAAAAAAAAATAAAAAAGATGCATTTTTATTGAGTTAATTCCAACGCATAGTGACCTTTTATCTGGTTTCAGTAGCTATCAATCTTTACAGAAGGAGATTGACCATTTTTATTTTTTCCGAGAGGCTAGTGATTCAAGCTGCTAACTTTCTAATTAACAACCATCATATTACACTGTGCTCCCAGAACATCAGCCACAGATAAATTTGTATCAGTAACAAAATATATAAAAAGATTTTAAAAGGAAAAGAAATAAAAAGTGCATTTTTATTTTTCAGCTATAAGAGTTTCTATTTCTCCTATTTGAGAAGTGTTCATGCTGAACACTCTTGAGTCCATGTTGGATTATTTGAGGCCATTATTCTTTTTTTCTACTCTCTTTGCTTTTTAGTCATGATCAAAATATTCAATTTTACATTTTAGATATCTTTATGATGTATAAAACAACTTTATTATTCACTTTGTGGTACAATTTAAGCAGTGTCTCAATCAATATAGGCATGGTAGATCAGAAATAAATCAGAATTTTAGCATTGAAAGTTAAAATTATTGAAAACTCAGAGTCAGTTCACAGTCCGAGAATAAAATCTTTGAATGTTTTCTCAGCTATTTACTGGCATGTTTGGCAGTGTGTGACTGATATGCAACAGCAAACTTTATTTTTTTT